GAAAAATACCGGATGGTTTCACTCACAGCAGGAGTATAATGGACCAGGCGAGAAAATAACAAAAATAATGAACAACCATATACCAGAGACATGTTATGGGGGTAGAGTGGGGAATGGGATCAAAAACGGAAGGGAGGGGGAAGGAAATGTATGGAACTATGGTGGTGGCACACCCGCGGGGATTACAATTGAGATGGAAAAAAAAAATGTGCAAAATGATGTAAAAATAAACTTTTGTAATAATTTAAAAAGTTTCACCATACTTAATAAAGATCAGTAATCATTAAAATTTAAAAAAAAAGTATGTATTTTCTGAAAGTAGAATACAGTAGACTATTAAAAGGTCCAGAACAAAAGTGGTCAGGAAGCCCTTCAGTATCTCTCCTCCCTAACTTCAATAACAAGCATGCTGCAAGTATAGCTCTCTAACCTCAGAAAAACATTATTGATTCACAATTCTCCTAAAATGAAAGTCTCCACAATTCACAAAATATTTTTGTTAGGAATACTCTTACAGTTACAGTTCCAAGTCACAAATGTTTAGCTGGTGCCTATGCGGCATGGTAATTTTTTTTTTTTCTCCAGAGCCCCAAAGTGACTCCCAATAAGCTCATTTTACAAATTACTTGACAAAGGTTATCTCTGGCATTCCAGCCACTAAATAGAAGGGCTAACACGTTCCCCTATATCTGCCACATGCAGATGCAGTGAGTAAAGAACAGAAAATGCTTTGACTCAACCCTGTGAATAAGCTGTTCAGTCTTTTATATATTGATAATTCCCATTTTTATTTTTATATAATATTTCCAGAAAGACTATAACATATTAGAGTAAAAATGGTAAATGGACCCAATGGGGATGGGATCTAGGAATTGTTTTAACAAATGAGATAGGTGATTCTGCTTCAAGATCAAGTTTGAGAATTACAAAGTTTGACTCTAGAGTGGAAGACAGTAAAACAAAAAACCATGGTTTAAAAATGGGAGTAGAGAAAATGTGGATGCCAGACCATACAAAATATTCTAAATGCATGGAAGTTCCATTAAGCAAAAGAGTGATCCGTTTCTCACCTGATTTCAGCTAAAAAGAGAAGGATGTCAGATATACAAATGATTCTCTCTCTGTCTCTACCCCTGTTCCTTTTCCCTATCCCAGATAGTGGTCAGGAATTATATATATTTGGTCTTTGTCCATTTCCCAACATAGAACTCTTAGAACCTTTAGAATTTCCTGAATGATAGAATTGTCTTGACATTCATAGAGACTCCACTTAGATCACACCAACGTTCATACTAACAACAGGACGGCAACTGGGCTTTCAGGTAGTTTCAAGGGAGGGGTTGAGCAACAAAAGACCAAGCAAATGGATAGAGTAGCAAATTTTAACACACACGTGTTCCTTTGCAAATAACCGAGTCAAACATGATATTAACTGAAGCCCCAATTTGGGGAGTTTTCAACTGGTAAACAAACAAGATCATTTTGAGAAATGCTGAACATATGGTAAGTCATGAGATATTCCTACTACAAAAGAAAACCTGGTAAAAAATTTTCTGTATTTGAAAAAATTGTTAGTTTTCCTAAATTTAAACATTATAAATTTTTTTGTTAAACACCAAATTAATATATTTCAACACAGGCAGTTTTCTCATATTTTAACATATTATTCTACTAAAAATATTTTTCAACTAAGAGCCTTACCATGTTTCAGCTTTATCATTATTCATTCAACTTTTTTAAAGAACTATAAAATGGGTGAATCTTGACAAAACTATTATCTTTCAGTGGTATATGAATATTTTTTAAAAGAACATTGTTCAGGCCCTCCCTGGTGGCGCAGCAGGTTGGAGCACTGCGCTAAGAAGCTTAAGCTACTTCCGCAATAGTTCGATCCCCGCCTGCCCGGGAGATGACCACATGGTGCGGCACACCTCTCCTGACCGGCCCACTGCTCCCCACTCTGTCCCTGGTGAATTCTCTCATCCTCCGCATCTCTGGCCTGCACCCCAGTTCTGTATGAATAAATAAATAAATCTAAAAAAAAAAACATTGTTCAATCAATACCTTTTCCCTGGAGAGATTTTCCAAATGTGAAGTTAGGTCATTTATCTCTTTGTCTTTCTCTGCCAACTGAAGCTGAATAAAGGAAGAAATTATTAATATTTTTCATTATCTACTCTTTATACTTACACTTCTAGTTTATAGCATTCTATTTAAAATAATTACTATGACTATACTCATGTATTTTCTTTGGTTCTTAGTCTAAATTACTTGTCACTATTGACCAGTTTCCCTTACTCCCTTTACATCTACATGAAATTATACCAACTTCTGCCATCCTCTCCTGTTCTTTTTGCAACCACTTTTTCTAACCAATTGCAAATACAGGTAAAATTTCCACAAAGTTTCTTCTCATGGCTGCTTTCCTTTCTAGTCTGAGAAATTTCCTTTCTCCTATGCCTTCCCCAGAGGAACAAGTCACAAATATTGGCTCATATATCAAACTATTTCTTTTCCCAACTTCAAATTTTGCCCTTTGTATATTGTAAGGGCAAAATGTCCCAAATATACTTTTCTACTCCATTAACTGGTACCAATCTCAGCGATAACTGTGGAAAATAGTAAATTATGTTAGAACACATCCTTTTCCTTTTCTCCTTTCTCCACTCCCCAACATTTTCAATTTTGAAGTCATTCATTCATTCATTCAATAATAATACATTGTTCACCTACAAATGTAACCATTCATAAGAATGTCTTTCAAAGCTTCCCTAGCTACACTTGTGTCCTACTCCAGGGCAGGTGATCAGCACAGGCATCCAAGGAGGTGGGTCTTTATCAACTGTCTTAAAAATAATTCTGATTTTCTACCTTCAAAACACTTCCCACCTATGCCAGTACTTCCAAATTATTTTCACATAGAAACCCCTCAGGTTTGGATCCCCTTCTCCTAGAAAATTCCTAACAGCAAATAGTACTCAAATTCCATTGTAGGCCCACAAAATCTGACTTCAGTGTGTCTTTTAAGTCTGATTTACACCATTACAAATATTAAAGTACTATTAATACTATTAAGCTCAGTTCTCAGACAATGCCTTCTACACTTGTGACCTCCAAAGATGAATTAATGCTATCCCATTTGTTTAAAATACTACTGTGTCTAATGGGTTAACACAGCACCTTATATGTTATAGGCTTCAATATTTACTAAGTCATATTTCTAATCAATTTGCAAACTTATGAATTCACTATTCACACTGTACAAATAAGTTTTCAGTCACTGAAAACACTACCTATAGGAATCCTACAAATAATAATTATCTCAATTTCATTCTCACAGTAGATGAAGGCTAAAACAGTTTACTAGTGGGAGTGGGGGATCAATGGAGCACTGTGGAAGACTACTAGTGGGCAAGGTGTAAAGATATGCATTTGTCAGGCTGAACCTACAATAGAAAGATAAACAAAAAACCAATTTTTTAAAAAAAGGAACACTAGCAAAATTACCTAATTACTTTAGATAATGTGCTACCCCAATGAGGGAAACCTAAAGTAATTTGTGATGTCTCTTAAAATATTACATATAAAAGTTAGAACACAATGACATAGTAAAGTCATATCATTTATACAACAACCTCACCTTTAGTCACCAAAAATATACATGTACTAATTAATACTAATATTAGAGGGAAAATATTTTTCAACATACTAATCAGCTAGACATAACTGCTAATTTCTCTAAATTCTTACAAACTTACTTACCATTTGGTTTTGTTTGCTACCTAATGTTACACTGGTAATTTATTCTTCATTTCTTTGCAATAGTTCAATTAGAATTACAGGTAGCATACCCTGGGTGGTAAATTTTACAATTCCTACATTTTAAACCACTGATCATAAACTACTACACTTCTCCCAAAACTTTAAGGCCCTAAAATAATTTTACAAACAATGTCTGTTTTGACAAGTGGTTACTTTTCAGCTTACAAAATAAAGCACAAATAAAAGATAAAATTAATAGCCACCTGAATGCACAGACTAGCAATGCAAGTAGGTATCTAATTTCTCAATTTATGGTTAAGGAACTATACTGACATAACTACATACTGTATTTTACTTACTGACAAAAATGCTATCCCAGTTCTGCATATTAAAACACAGATAATTCATTCCCAGTAAGAATCAAGCACTGTGTCTCAATTTGAGCACTAAACTTACTCTGTAACTGTCCTGTACGTCAGCTAGTTCTAGTTTTATGTTATCAGCAATTTTCACTTGTTCTTTCCATTTCAGCTCCATTTTCGCAAGTTCGTCAGCGTATTTGTTACATTTTATTTTCTCATCCTAGGCAAAATTAGTACAGTTACAAAACCGGTATAATTAAATCCATATAGACTCACTATAAAAACACAGATTTAGATATGTACTGAATGTTCACTACAGAACTGTTCTAATAGTATAAAAATGAATAATCAAATGTCTGTCAATGCAACATGGGGCTAGTCATTTTATATCAACATAATCAAATAATATATTTTAAAAGAACAAAGTAGAACCACAAGGTGACAGGGAAAAACATCACAAACTACAAATAGTGAGCTGGAGAAACAATATATAGGGTTGTTCTATTTTTGTTTTAAAAACTGGTTTAAGATTATAAAATTGAGTATAAAAAAAGTAGGTTTACTTACATGTTACACATGATGTCTATGTAACATTGTATAGAAAAATATAAACCAAAATATTAATAGTTTTTAATCTCGGGGGGGCAGTATCATATGGGGATTTTCTCATCTTTACTTTTAAAAAGAATGCATTAAGATTTCACAATAAGCTTATAAACTTTACACAAAGGGATATAATAAAATGTATTGAATTAAAATGCTGTTATTTCCAGGCATTAATAAAATGATAGAATTTTCTGACCAACACAATCTTTAGACTTAAACCAGAAGTAAATCACAACACAAAAGTAATGTGAATTTCATTTTAAATTTTTTTTTTAAACAAGGTAATAGTTTATGTTTTGAGTATTTCAATGGAGAGAAAGTCTTTTCAACAAATAATCAAGTGACTAGGGTATGTGTAAATGTTCTTCATATGATGTAATCCCAGTTTCGTGAAAAATAAGGCAAAATGGATCAAGCTGCACACTCTAGTTTCTGGGATTTCAACTGTACTTCACCAAGTATGGGCATGCTACACAGTTTGAAGAAGTTTTGAAGAAACATTCTCTCAATACCACCCATAACTATTTCATACAAAGTGAAAAATAGTCTTTTATAAACAACTAATTTGAAGTAAAAACTTTTCTAATCAACCCTTCTACAGAAGAATCCTCTTAAACAACAAAAACGTTTAAAGTCCAATTAAAAGATCACACGTCATGTCTCCCTGGTGGTGCAATGGGTTAAGTCTCAGCACTATGAAGGATCTTTCAGCCACTGTAGCACGAGTTCTATCCCTAACGAGGGAGCTAACCCACTTGGCGCAGCAGACCTCTCCTGTCTCGCCCGCTGCTCCCCTCAGCAGTGTATTTCAGTCAATCTGCTTGTCCTACTCCCCACTCTGTCTCTAGTGAATTCTCTCACCCCTCTGCATCTCTGGCCTACATTCCAGTTCTTGTATTCATAAATAAATCTTTCAAGAAAAAATTCACACATCTTTCAATTACATAATGTAAAATATGAAATATCCTAATTTCATACAAGTGCTACAAAGTATCCCCTCCCCTCTCCACATGCAGAGAGAAACACACATACACAAAGTTAAACAAAAATCACATACACAAAAACAAAACAGGTTCCCCAGTCTCCCATCATATATAAATGAGGATTTCCCCTGTGTCCTTTAGACATTTCATGAGTGAATGCCACCAAGGAAGCTGCAAAAGTGAAATGTTTAATGGTGCTGTTTAAAACAAATCTAAATTAATTATATCATAAAGGTACAAAGCAGTTAACATTCTCTCCTTCCACTTAATAAACCTGGTCACTTTAAAATTCTTTATATTACTATGATAAAAGTAAAAGGAGTATTTCCCTTTCATGACGTTTAAATTTTCATTTATCTTTGTAATGAGATGACAATAATATCCAACATCAATAACCACTTGCTCATTATCAGGAGAAAATTAAGTAAGCAAACTAACTTTAGGATTATGCATTTACACACAGGCCTACATGAATAGACAATCATTACAATCTCCTGTGATCTCAAGTGAAGTTAATTCCGGTATATGCAGATAAAGGAACCCTAAGATACCCATCAATTGAGACAATAAAAGTATGCTGAGCCATTACATTTGATAAATCTTTTACTTTCAAGAAGTAGCTTACCTGCAAGAGTTGTTTGCACTTATTATACTTTTCTGTTTTGTCAGCAATTTCTTTGGTCATTTCACAGATTTGCCCCTTTGTTACCATGTCAAAATCTGCCTCAGCTATAAAAAAGGTAGAAAATAAGATTAAAAACTATTTCGATTAGGTATTTGATTTAAAGGTAAGTATACTGTAAAATATAAGTGAAATACTGAAAAAGGACCATGTTTTAAAATATTTATTCATATGCTAAGTAAACAAAAGAGGATAATATAAACTATAAGAGAATTTTTTAAACACCAACTTGACCAGACCAAGTTCACATTCATTAACAAAAGAACTATTATTTTGCTACAGAGCTTAATTCCTCAGAAACAGTTCCAAAATGACACAAAACTTTTTGCTATATGTAACTGGACAGGATAAGGACTCAAGTCATACACTGAGAAAACATTTTATAGTAATGAGGGGTAGAAAAATTATTTATCATTAAGTCTTTAGCAAATACAACACTATTCTTAAATACTATAGAGAATGCACAGGAATAGGTAAGATCCTGTTGTATAGCACATGAACATAGTTATTTAATAGTACAGGAAATTTATAATACATTCTGAAAGTCTAAAACACTAATTATCCCAAACACCATACACGATAAACTTTTATGTATTTTATACATTATCTAGTACTTACTTTAATTATTGTCAAAGCTTTAACATGAGATGAAAAACATAATTAGGAGATGTGAAAAGTTAATCCACATTTTCATACTGTTCATTTATCTACTATCTCTTTAGGTATAGAAATAAGAAAAATGCCTTATTAGTTCATACAGGGTTGGGCAAGGGCAAGGGTGAGGGCAGCAGTATAGCAACCATGGATTTTATAGGCTTATACCAAAACAGAATTGTATGCTTAAAATGCACTTAGTGCTTCAAAATTCCACAGACTTTTCACAGTGTTATTAACAATTTTTGGTTTCTGAATGTTTTAAGCATCTGCACTTCTATTCATCATTCACACTAACACCTGTGAAAGAAAATGAGATGCATACTCATATTTTGTGTTTTCACTAGATATATAACAACTTTATCTTACTTTCAGATGCTTACTTTCTCTTTGCCACCCTCAAAGAATTTTTCTAAGCTCCCCTAACACTCTTACACCTGGCATAAGGAATGTAGTAAGTGTACATACTCTCAAGGCAAACACTTTATACAGAAAGTCAAGCTTCTACCTGCAGAAGGTTGGGCCTTTACATCTACCGCAGAGGTACTCGTAGCTGGATCTATGTTTACTGAGGCATCATTCACTTTGTGTTGATTCTCAATTTTCTTTGTGCAGACACCGTTGTTATCAGCCTGTTCAAAATTTTAACAAATTGTTGAGTGAATCACTGACTTATATTATCTTCCTTCAGTAATTATGTAAATAGTAATCATATAAAGCAGCCCTAGTACACAAAGCTGTTTCTCTTAAAGGCTAACAAAGAGTTGCTATACACATGTTACTAACTGTAACTGAATGTCACAAAAAAGAAAAACATGCCTTTTGCTTGTCAAATCATCAACCAGCACCAACACAACCCACTCAGAGACACTGTCTTAATTTTCTAATATACATAAAAGGCCCAAGAATGCAATTTACTCTTGGTCATCTGTAAGATTTTTTTCCCCCAAAGCAGCTTCTTACTTTATCGCATATATTTATTGTTTCATTTTACATTTCAAAAAATAAGGCTAAAGAAATATAATTTTTATCATTGTATACAGAGTATTCAAATAAAACTGTCTTAACAGCAAGTATGTTTTGCAATGAGAGCTGTGTTTTCAACTTCAGGTTTTAAATAAATGCATTTCTTTAATGCCAGGATGCCCTCACAAAGTGAGCATTATATTTAAGTGCCATTTAAAGACATACATTAGAACATACATCAAAACAGAAAATTTTTCTTTGCTTTTATAATCTGCCTGCCCACAATAATTAGCTAACACTTTTTGACTTTCTCGAAACCAGTGAATATGTACAGGATGAAAGAAATCAACAAGTCAACAGCAGAAGTCATTTAAAACCCTTCAGATGATCAGTGGAGACACAATAGCTCATTGTCACATGAGGAATTCAGTATGTACTTTTAAGTGACACAGATGTAAGAACTTTGAGAACTGGTCAAGAAAAGAAGGTTTCTGTTTTTTTTTCCTGCTGCTATCCTTACTTCCTTTGTTGGTTCTCCCTAAAATTTGGAGGTTTTTTTTTTTTTTACTTTATTAACATTATTATCAGTAGGCCAGTGACTTGAAATCAAACAAATTACATTCAAAAGCTTGATATTTAATTATAAATTTAATATGCGGACAAAAGTAATCATAAAGGAAACATTTTACTATGTAAGAATTTAATAATACTTACTTGTTGCTCTGAAAGTTTATTTATTTGTTTCTGGAGTCTCTGACATTCCTTGAATTTTTCTTTATAATGATCTGCTGCCATCTGAAGACGAAGTTTCAGGTCTTCAACTTCTCTTCTCAGCTCATGTTCCAGTGTATCTGTCTTTTCCTAAGAGAGAAATAAACACTTTCAGATAAAAATCTCTTAATGTCATAAAACTGAAAACTTCATTTTCATGTTTTCCCTTCTCGTTTTTGATTTTTATTTATTCTTGCATTCTGGGTACGGAGTCATATTTACTCTTTTAATATATCCAGCTTTAGAATTAATCCTGGAATTAAGACTCATTTAAAAAGAGAAAACTATAGAGAACAATAATCCACAACCTGGGGAGCATGCAATACTCTGTAAAATAATCATAGTATGTTGTTTTAATCCCCTAGTAAAAAGAAATTCCAAACAAAGCAATGTATAAGCTAACACCAGAAAGCTTAGTTAACAGTAACAGAACAATTTTAACCATTTAGTATTTGTTTACATAAGTTTTTCTTAATGCTTACATTAATTTCAACCCAGGATACAGAGACTAAGTAAAATGAATGGAAATTAAAAAATTCTATGATGAGGAATCTGATTTGTTTTTATTTTACCTCACTCACCTTCTTCATGAAATTGAAGTGGAATTTTATTCAAAGTATGTTATTCAAAACTAACCTGCTTTACCTGGTCTTTTTTTACAGCATTTAGTTTAAGTTCTGCCACTGCATCTGCTAACTGCTTTTTCACTTTCTCATTTTCCAAGCGTGCAGTATGTAGATCTGCCATTGTTTTATCTCGCACATTTACAGCATCACTAAGTTCTTTAGCCAGAAAGACCACTTCTTGCCGAGTTGCCTGCACCTGTTCCTCTGCTTTCCGCAATTGCTCCTTTAAAAAAAAAGTATCTTCCTGAAGAGAGACAAATACAATTAAATTATTCAAGTTTAAAAAAAAAGCAACTTTTGCATATTTCAATAATAAAATTTTTAATTAACTATCATATTTTAAAATGTGTCTTTTAGATTTCCTATACATATACCAACCCTATATACATTGAGTATCACTTCTAACACATTGTATGTCAGGTAACTGAAGAGGGGTAAGCCAGGCAACACACACAAGGCATAAAAGTTCTAGCCAAACTGAAACTCCATGAAAATGCTGGTTCCTCACAATCTCACTAGCCGAAACTACTTAATTTTTTATTATCACAAATAAAAATTTTAATAAAATTATCAAATTATATAATAAAAATTACTAGTCTTTGAAACCCTAAAATTTTTTTGTTAAAAGATGTTTCCCACTATCAAGTGGAAATGTACATCCAGTATAAACTAAATAAATGTTTATCAGAACAGATTTATTAGACTTTGTTCTCAAAAAATGAGAAGGGACTAAAAACTGACAAGTAATTGGCACCTATTAGGCCTAAATGTATCTTTACAATGGTAAAATTATTTATTTTATTATTATTGAAAATGATTTCATTCTAACCAGACATTATGAGTTCAATAGTTTATTCCACTATCATCTTTCTATCTCTATAATAAAATAATATAAACTCAGAACAAGAACCACCCATTCTTGGGTTTTTGGATATTAGGCACCTTAAAAAAATACACATAAGAAAACTTATGTATATGGAGAAACTATTTCTAAGCAGAACACTAGTAGATCTAACTATACTGTCAGCTTCCTTATTTCAAATACAGAAAGAACTGGATAAATATTATTTGTAATATATTCAAAATATATGCAAATAACTTTTCTTTTTAAGATTTATTTATGAGGTGCAGGGGCAGTGAGAGGATTCACCAGAGACAGAGTGGAGAGAACAGGTAGATTGACAAAGTACACTGCTGAGGAGAGCAGTGGAGAGACATGAGAGGTCTGCTGTGTCATGTGGATCATTTCGGGGCCCAGGGATTGAACTGCGGCTAGCTTACAGTGCTGTGTCCTAACCCACTGCACCACCAGGAAGGGCCCACAAAATAAACATCTTTTTCTAACCAATAAGAAAAAAGCCACAAACCAAAAATCAAACTAGAAAAACTCAAAGAGTTTATTAAAAAAAAGAACTATTTTGCACGCAAAGTAATAGTCAATTCAGGCTCTGCCTGGTGGCACAACAGGTTAAGCACAGCACTGTGAAGCTATCTGCAGCCATTGTAGCAGAAGTTCAATCCCCAGGGAGGTGACCCACATGGCACAGCATACTCTCCTGTCTTGACCGCTGTTCCCCTCAGCAGTGTATTTCAGTCAATCTGCCTGTTCTCCTCCCCACTCTATCTCTGGTGAATCTTCTCACCCCCCCATACCTGTGGCCTATACCCCAGTACTTGTATGCATAAATATATCTTTTTAAAAAGTAGTCAATTCAATGACAAATAAGTTAAAGCAAACATTCACCTTCAAATGGACAAGATGAAAAAGTCCCACTATACCAGTATTTAGGTGAATTTAGGAAAAACAGCATATTTACAAAACATGACACCTATAAAATCTCTGATATAACCTTTCTCACCAGAGAAAAGGTTGTGCAATATGTTATCAATACTTTAAAAAAGTATATGTCTTTGGGTCTATCAATTTTATTTTCAAGATTTTTTAAGGAAATTACTAAAGGATATGGAAATAGTTTTATTTTTAAGGAAACAGTAAAATATTAAAATTCTGAAAAATTATTAAAAACCAAAAATAGGCCCTCACTGGTGGCGCAGCGGGTTAAAGCACAGCACTGAGAATCCAAAGCCGCTTCCGCATAAGTTTGATTCCAGCCTGCCCCGGAGGTGACCACATGGCATGGCAGACCTCTCCTGGCCCGCCCACTGCTCCCCTCGTCGATCTGCCTGTTCTGTGCTTCGTCGATCTGCCTGTTCTGTTCCCCACTCTGTCTCTGGTGAAGCCTTTCATCGCCCCTGAGCCTCTGGCCTGTACCTGAGTTCTGTATGCACAAATAAATAAATCTTAAAAAAAAAAAAACGAAAATATATGTGATTTACTATAAACTACCATCTCTCCTCAACATAGGTAAAATATGCAGTCATTGCAAACAACGTATCTCACACACTGCAGAAATAATGTATTCATTTCTGTGAAAGGTAATATGAATTAAATGTAAAACTTAAGCTCCCTTAGATCCAACAATAACACTTAGAAGGATTTATCATACTGATATATACATCAATCTGTATGACTTTTACTAGTGTGTTCATGACAGCTAAGAACTACGAACACTGAAAATGATTATATACTACACAACTCTTTTTAACATCCCTATGTGTACTAAGAATACAAGGTGTTCATTTACAGAAGTTTATTTTTTTGTTTATTTATTTATGTATACAAAACTGGGATACAAGCGAGACGTGCAAGGGCAGTGAGAGGATTCACTAGAGACAGAGTGGGGAGCAGAATAGGCAGATCAACAAAGTACACTGTGGAGGGGAGCAACAGGAAAGGAGGAGAGGTCTGCTGCGGGAATCAAACTCACACTGAAGCCACCGCCACAGCTTGGCTTAGTTCTGCAGTACAGCACTCCAAACCACTTCACCACCACCCTCTACGTAAGTTTTTTATACAGGTTTTGGAATACTATTTTAATAATATACTCTCACTTTTGTAAAAAAGTATCTTTTTTGATGTATCTATGGATAAATATATATACACACACACTAAGAAAGGATGAGAGTGACTTATCTGAATTTATTATAACTGCAACCTTTTACTACTTTTATAGCTTTTCTTTAAGTTTTGGCAAACCATTTTCCCCATATATTTTCACATCTGTGTTTCTATACAGAAGCTCTGTTTAAGTAGGAAAAAGATGCTTAATTTTTAGCATTTATATTACATAATCACATATACTTTCCACCTTTGCATTTGTAGTTTGCTACATTCAATAGCTTACAAAGTAACTTCAGTCTCATACATTAATTGTACATACCATTCGTACTTGCTGTTTTAGGAATTCATTTATGTCTGAGTATATTAAATAGGAATTATTGAAAATAATATATACCCAATAAAACAAAATGAGTATATCTTTGTACACACATAATACAATGAGAAAGTATTTACCTGGCCTTTAAAAATAAAAAACTAGGAAAACCTGTACGAACTAACATTGAATGAATACTGACTGACACATTACTCCTAAGTTTCTGAAATGTGGTAAATATAACATGGCTATACAGAAGGATAGCGTGAGAAGACATGCTACGCCTGCAACTGATTTTCAAATGTTTGGGGAAGGCATACAAATGAGAGAGACCATTATGGCAAAGCATTGTAAGATATAAAGGTACTCACTGTTCTGTTTTTCTTACTTTTGTACAGAGTTGTATATGGTTGGGGGCAGAGTAGAAAGTTAAAACTATCGTATTTCTCTACATTATTTAGTAGAAATATATTTTACAATCTTCAAATACATATTGCAAAATAACTTACCTTACTAGAAGCTGTAAGTAAGAAAGCTCTTTGCAGACTTTCCTTTTCTGCCAAACATAGCTGCAATCTGCCAATCTCTTCTTTGAAATGAGTAATCATGCCTTCTTTGTTCCCATCTAAATTCTTTAAAGTCTGGATCTCTGACACAAGCTTGGTGTTTTCTATTTCTGTATTCTTCAAATGGATCTGCAACAGTGCTTGAAAATGTCAAAAATATTCTAACTCCAAAATCTGTTAGTCAAAGTTCAAAGTACCACTGTATATCTCTAACCCAAATATAATCAAGAGTTACTGAAGAAGGAATTAGAAGATACAATTTCTGCCAAATGCTATGTATGTGAGAGATAGAAATTCTAAGATCTGAGAGTTTTATGTGATCTTTAAAATCTTTTCCTTTAATGACGTTAGTCCTCTTTGAAGTTTTAGCAAATAGACTGAGATGTTCTTTTGGGGAAACAGGTTATGTTACAGGCATATTCAAATACAAAGGCATGGTAAGTACATCACCTTAAACCATCCAATTTTTAACGTCAAGTTATGTAAATGTCACTTACTTCCTATGTGCCTAGAAAGTGTATTTGTTGATCAACTAACTCAACTAGATTAATTTTTCCAACTATAATGATTTGGTGGCTATTGCTGCTACAGGTGTTCAAATAAAATTCCACAGTTAGAATGATAATGAGTACAGAAAATAGTAGCTTCCACTAGAGAATGTATTTCGGTTTGATAAGAATAACTAGGGAGAAATAATTTTACATTCTTCTTGTACTTTAAGTGCATGGAACAATTTTTCACAAGAACAGGATATAACTTAATTCTCTGAAGGTGTTAGCAGTCAAGACCTTTGGGGCACTCTTTAAAAACACTCTCCAATTTTCATAATCATGAGCTCACAGAAGTGCCAATTTCTCTAAACTCTAATAGGGTGGGAATGGGTCATATGACCCAGTAGAAGCTCAAGAAAAGAGACCAAAAATATCTCTGCAAACAATCTGGAAGGGAAAATAAGTTACTGAAGCTAGCAGTACTATAGGTGAGCTTCACACTTGGTAAGTGGAATCACCTTAGCAAGACATAAATATACATCCCTAAAGAAGATCTTTCCTTTCAATTTTTAGGTTATATACATAAATGAATACTGGGGGAATGAGGGATATATTCAAATACACAATTCGATGTCACCTTGATCCCAATTATTAATGCCTACTGAAAACAGAAAGAAAAAAATAAATTCCCAAAACACTTTTCTTTATCTTCCTTCCTCCTCAACAAGACTTTTGTAAAGGACTAATTATTCAAGTATACATCATCAGAGACATGAGAAGTCACTGTAAAAAATATGAGTACATGAGGAATAATATGAAATAATTTAGAAAAGGAAAATTAAAGGCATTGTTTCTGCCACCCTCCATCAAATACTAATGTCCTAGTCTCAGGATGGTGATGGGCACTGAGGGAGGGAGAAGACAGGGTAGAAAGGTGACAGCGTTAGCAATAAGTTTTCCAAATTGAGTCATCCTGGTTATCACTGAATCTCTCCTGTTTAGTCGGGATCTTCCAAAACTGTTCCCAATACTTACTAGAATACCTTCATTATTCATTTTAGTATTGAATAAAGCTGCCTGAGGACAAACACTCCATATTTTTTATAATTTTCCACTGTACTAACAGAAAAACAACAGGGTAAGCCCTAAGTATACATACAAATAAGTCCTTTCCTAGCAACAAAAGAAACATTCACAACTGAAATTCATAGTGACATCAAATAAAAATTAGATAATAAGTTTAATTTTAAAATGCAATACAAAACTTTGAAAAGAAAAACTGCATTTGAAGGTGGTTTACAGAGAAAATTTGTGTTAAGTAGTAACCCAGTTGAACTAATTATTTCTCTACATCTGTAGTAGAAATAATTAAAAATAATTCCCATTTTCATAAAATTTCTTTCATGGCCAAACAATATAGCGGTAGAAAGAATAAATCACCTTATAAAGTTCCTTTTCGTCCTTTTCCATCTTCAACTGAGATTCAAGTTGTTCTCTTTCATATTGTGTCTTCCTGAGTTTGTCCTTTAAACTTAAGATCAAATAATGTTAATATAGACATAAAATAACTGTTAAAATACAAGGTTTTGTTACAGTATCAGAAATACCTGTCTAATTCAGTCTCTTTTTCAATTGCTTTATGAGTCACTGACATAATATCTTCCTCAAGTTGGAGAGTCTTGGATGTAGCATCATTGTATCTCTTCTTCAACTCTTCATTTTCCACTTTTAAACTTTGAGATATGTCAGTAAGGCCCTTAAAAACAGTAACAATTCATTTTGAGAATACAATTATGACAACTTTAAATTTCTTTTCTTAAAGACCTAGATATTCAGCCCTCTCTGGTGGTGCAAGGGGTTAGGATGCAGCATTGCAAGCCAGCCGCAGTAGTTTCTGTACAAGTTCAATCCCTAGGCCTGGAGGTGATCCACATAGTGCAAAAGACCTCTCCTGACTTCCCCGCTGCTCCCCACCAGAGTGTACTTTGTTGATCTGCCTGTTCTGTTCCCTGCTCTGTATCTGGTGAACCCTCTCACTGCTCCTGCAACTCAGGCCTATACCCCAGTTCTATATGCATAAATAAGTAATCTTTTTTTAAAAAAAAAAGTTAAATGTTACAGTTGGAAAGTCATACAAACCCAAATGTCCAAAAATAGATGGGGTACAGGGGTACATACACATAACAGAATATTACTCAGCAACCAAAAAAAAAAAAAAAACCTTTTGCAACAACATGGATGGAGCGGGAAAAGATCATGCTTAATGAAAAATAAGCCAGAAAGAAAAGGAAAAACCCCGGATAGTTTTATTCATAGCAGGAATATAAACGACCAGGGGAGAAAATAGTAATAATGAACAACTATATACCAGAGACATTTTATGGGCATGGAATTGGATCAAAAACGGTGGTTGGGGGGGGGGGGAGTGCACTGGACTATAGTGATGGCACACAGATGATTTGGTAATGGGAAGCCCACGGGGATTACAACTAAGATGGAAAAAGGCCAAAATGATGTAAAAATATATTATTTTAAAAGTGTTAAATATAATGAAATGCATTTGCAATTAAAACTGAATAACCTACTTTAAATATAAGTATAAAAATGTTCACAAGAAAATTAAGTAAACCTCATTAAGCTGTGTTTACTGTAAAAGCTTATTTCATAATCTGTAACATGGAGTTAGTAAGGCATTTCTCTTAGCTTATAAAATTATGAGAATCAAGTGTTATGTTGCATACAAAATGCTTTGTTACAGAAAACTATAGAGATTAAAACAGTGAGTAAAACAAATTATTTCTGTTAAAAAAAAAATGTTTCAAGTTTCCCATAAAAAAGTACCACTCATCTAACAACCAAAACTAAAGAATCACCATCCTGCCAATGTATCGAATTTTATAAGCCATTCTAAGATTGTCATAAAGTAAATCAACTAAATGTCTTACCGAGGGTGTGTTATCAGCTAGGCAGGGTGTATTGTCAGCTAGGCAGTAATTATCTTGCCAAGACAGGAAAACTGCTCTGTTGCACCTACACTTCACTAAAAAGCTATCATAATACACACTCTACTGGTTTTGTTACTCAAAGGAATCATATGCCTTACTGAATTTGCAATATTAATCACATTGTGATACAAAATTAAACATTTTTTGGGTTCCAATGTCATAACATCAGAAAAGAATAAAGCTCCTTCTGTTAGAATAGTAAATTATATCCTTCTTGCAAAACTGGACATATTTTTCACTATTTGTCTTACTGACTTATAAAGACACAGTGTCCATAGTGGTCTCAATCGATTTAAAAAAATTTTTTATTTCTAATTATTACCAAATACCCTCTTTTTGCTGCAAATGGATTAGATTTTAAACTAGTATTTCTCCCTAAACAATGACTAGCTTCCCCAAGGGCAAAGACTAACTGTGCACTGAAGCTTTATAGCTGGTAAACAAAATTCTTAAAATGTAGGTAGAGGTGCCCTCCCTGGTGGCACAGGAGGGTAAAGCACAGCACTGGAAAGTTAACCTCGGCCTCTCCAGTGCAAGTTCAATCCCTGCCCCAGAGGTGACCCACTTGGTGCAGCAGACTTCTCCTGTCTAACCTACTGCTCCGTTTAGAAATGTATTTCGTCAATCTGCCTGTTCTGCTCCCTACTCTGTTAACTATACAATGAGTCACAAATTAATTCTAACTATATTCTCAAGAAATTAAGAATTTTTCCGGTACCTATAAAGGCATCTGATAGATTTTCAACATTCAAGTTTATCAAATAATATATAAGTGCTCAAGTGGGTATTATTATTCTGGCCTGTAGTTCTCATATCTGAAGGAAGCATAAGCATTTTCAATATGGCTAAGTCTTCTTTAGTATAAAATGGGATGAAAGCTCTTAATGTACATACATGTAACTCTCATGTTGGCTTTAAAAGTTGTTGTTCAGGCCCTCCCTGGTGGGGCAGTGGGTTAAAGCACAGCACTGAGAAGCTAAAGCTACTTCCTCATGAGTTCGATTCCCGCCTGCCCCAGAGGTGACCACATGGCGTGGCAGACCTCTCCTGACCCGCCCACTGCTTCCCTCAGCAGTGTACTTCATTGACCTGCCTGTTCTGCACCCCACTCTGTCTCTGGTGACTCCTCTCACCCTCCACATCTCTGGCCTGTACCCAGTTCTGTACGAATAAATAAATAAATCTTTAAAAAAAAAATTGTTGTTCAAGAGTAAAAATCTACAACACAATCTTTGAAAACCATAGATTATACGTGCTAACAGACCGTTTTTATAAGTGATCTTTTTATCTCATCTACCCCTCTGGTTTATAGTAAGAGTGCAAAAAAAGGACTGGATTCCACTTTGCACAACTGTGGAACAATGAGTAATGTGGAAAAGAATATATAGAAAAGCATCATACAAAATAACAAGGAAGCTATATGAGTAAAAATTCACTGAATGATCTAATAGTCAAGTTAGACATATATTTTGAGGTTTTACTTCATACAACTGCAAAAACATTCAAACTGAAAAATGTGGTACCCAACCCAATTAAAGTATCCTGTTCCTATTTGCAGGGTGTCAGTGGTCCCTAAAAATGTGTAGGGGAGCACTGCTGGTGGGAATGCAAACTAGTGCAACCACTATGGAAAACTGTTTGCAGGTTTCCCAAACTGCTAAAAATGGAGCTTCCATAATGACCCAGCGATCCCACTCCTATATATCTACCCAAAAGACACAAAAATGTTGATTCAAAAGACACCTGCACCCCCACATTTATTGCTGTTTTACTTATTTATTAAATTTATTACAAAAGTTTATTTTTACATCATTTT